AAGTGGGGTGCTGTTCTGCGGAGGAGCATTGGGAGGAAGGATGGGAAGTGCACTGATCAGCATGGTAGCAGGGAGGGACGGGATCGGGGTCCTGGTCTGGGTGGCCACTGGGAGCAGTGGGAAGTGGGATGTTGCTATGGGTGGTACTGAGGGTTGAGAAGCGGGGTGCTGTTCTTCATGGCATCTGGGAGGATAAGAAGTAGGGTACCATGCTGGCGGCCATTGGGAGGAATGGGGTGCTGGCTTGTATGGCTGTTGGCAGGGATGGGATCAGGGTGCTGCACTGGGGATCACGGGGAGGATGGGTTCAGGTACCCCGCTGGGGGCTTTGAGGGGGGTAAGGAGTGGGGTGCAGCCACGGGCGCCCATTGGGAGGGATGAGGTCAGGTCCTGCTGTGCATGGCCGTTAGGAGGGGTGCTGGTCTGGGGCAGGATGGCTGTGGGCCCCACCTCTTCCCCCTCAGCTTGCTGGAGGGTGGGTGAGAAGCCTTTCGTGGTTTCTCTTCCTTGTGGCAATATGAAGGTGGTCGAAGTCCAAACTTCTTTTGGGCAACAGCGGGACAGCTGCCCAAACAGAGAACACAAAGGGCCCCGTGCGCTGCTGTGGGTCTGGGGAGGATGAGCTGTCCCGGGGAGGTGGGACATTCCCATGGCGGACTGCAGCCCCTCGCCTGGTGTCCCCCAGAGCTGCCGTTCCCTGGGGCCTGCCCTACCCACAGCCGGGGGGGTGCACATGGCAGCCGCCCGCTATGGGACGGGTCCTTCCTGCTCTTCGGATGGCTGTGCTGTTCGCACTGTGAGCGCGGCCCACCTCAGCGGTCCCACCAGGCCATCCGGAGGGCCCTGCTGACGCTGCCCGGTGCGCGCCCTGCTGGGAAGCCTCTCGATCCTGGGCACCATTTCCTCTGACGTGCTCCTGCCGTCCTCTCCTGGCCTTGCAGGCGCCTGCAGGGCTCAGGGGGTGTTCCTGGATGAGGCTGCCCTTCCCAGAGTGATGCCAACAAGGTCACTTTCCAGCCTCTGGGTTGCAGGGCTGCTTCTCACGCTGGCAGCTGAGCTGGAGGTGTCCATGGAATTCCAGCAGGAGTCCCAGACGGCGTCCCTAATGCCCTCCCTTCTGTTCCCACCGGGAACGGCGGCGTGTCAGCCGCCTCCAGCAGCTCCAATGACGGCCCCTCTGGCCTCCCCCCAGCACGAGCAGTTGTGGCTTCGCCAGTGCCTTTGTGCCCTGCCCGCAGGGGAGGGGGCCGGAGGGGTGGCACCCCAGGCACGAGGACTCCATCTCCTGAGGGATGCTTGGGAGGGGACCTGCGGCCTGGCGCGCAGCGTGAGCGCAACATGGCCGCAACATGGCCGACGCTGTGGGACATCGCTGGCGGAGCCGCGGTGCTCTGAGCGGGCGTCCGAGGAAGTTCCAGGCACAGAGAAGAGCTCAGCTGGGATTTGTGCCTCGGGGGACCGGTGGGAACATTTAAGGGCAATAACGCAGCCATTATTAGTGCTTTTAGCGTATCAGCTTCAGTGTGTCCTCACCGACTGCCTCGCCGCACCCAGTTCAGTGAGCGCAGCCACGGAGACCCTGCTGCGGCCTGCAGCCCCGCTCCCCATTGCTGCTGCCCTGCAGGGAGGCAGGGCCGGCAGGCCCAGGTGCCCACGAGGGCTGGGCGCTGCAGGGCAGCCCTGCCTGGGGTCACGCAGCCGCGGGAGGGGTCATTTTGGGAGGGGGTCCACGTTTCCCGTATCCCAGGGCTGGGTGTCACAGGGCTGGCAGGACTCGATGCAGTCATTTCCCTCTATTATTAGAGGTTTTTTATGGGTGAGTTATTAGTCCTTTGCCACCGGCTGTGGCCTTCGTGCTATACAGTGTGCAAAGAAAGGACTGTTCCGGTGCCAAAATGCTTATTGTTTAAAATGCAGATTTTTTTTTTTTTTTTTTCCCTCCAAAAGTAAACCAACATACAGAAAACCGGATTAAAAAATAGTGGGAGTCCAGAGACGAGAGAGAAGGGCTTACTTAATTATTTAACCTGGGATCTGCTGCAGTGTGCTCAGCAGCCTGCCCTAAGGAACCTGCTTTGGGAGGGGTTGGTCTGGGGGATCTCCAGAGGTTCCTTCCCACCCCTGAAATCCTGCAATTCCGTGGTTCTGTGTTCTCCAGACATGGAAGTGGAGCACTGACAGAGATCATAGATTGGTTGGAGTTAGACAGGAGCCTTAAAAGCCGTCTGGTCCCACTCCCCTGCAGTGAGCTGGGCCACCCACCCACAGCTCCGTCAGGATGCTCAGAGCCTGGTCCATTTCTGAATGTTTCGTTGGTACAATTCCCATTTATTCTGCTTAGGTATTTCAGTGCAGTGCATGCCTTACTGAAGATTGCTGCATTTCCTGGCCTGCTACTGCTCTTCATCATGATTATACTGGGCATGTCATTTCAATGTTTCAGAAGCAAGAAATTGTTAGTATAATAATTAGGGATGTGAATTACACCTGATTTGTGCCTGGTCTGCTCAGATATCAGCCATGG